CCCACCCCGACTTCACAATTCATCCCAAAGAACCACGCCAATGTGGTATTGTGTCAGGAGCAGGACCTGGAAGGTGAGGGTTCAAAACCTCTCGGCTATGAAGTCACTGGGTGACTTTGGAAGCAGCAGTCTACCTACCTCACTGCAGTGATATGGGATTAAATGAGGAGAAGGAGAACCTTTTATACCACCCCAAGCTCCTTGGAGAAAAGTGGGATATATGTGATAATAAATATATGATAAAATATACTGTCATCAAATTCAGTCTGTCAGTTTTGGTTCTTTCCATTCTCATTTTTCCACATTTGTTTTTCTGCATTTTGTGAAGCTTTTTTTTTTAAAAAAAAGAATATCATTTTAGTACAATTTCTCCAATATTTGCAAGCTTTCCTTCCTAATGATGCAGATTTTAATATTTCACTAACATATGCATTTTTGTACACGTTTCCCCTCATCTATTATTTCCACACACATTGGGTATGATCCAACTAATGAGTCCTGTCAGCGAAGCCCTCAGAAGGATTTTCTCTTCTGCAGTGGAGGCTCAGGGGAACCTCCAGAACAGAATGTGGGGGAAAGAGGGGAGGGTTGGCTTCATCTGACAAGTCAAGATCCTTTCCCTGATGGAACAATCCCTGGCTGGTTGGAAAACTGCATCACAGAATTCGGAGAAGTGCACATTCCTAAGGATAATTGTGTTTCGGTTGGCATACTGTTTCAAGAAGCGTGAATTAGATAGTTCTCATTAAAATGCAAACAAAATGGAATTTCCTCCGTCGTCCCTAGTCATGGTTGTACGTGTATAATCTGGGAAACCAGAGCGTTTTGAATCAGTCCACTGATGCATATGTGAAACCCAGGAATGACCTGAAAGAGATGCTGCACTTCTCTGTGATAAATTATGAAGATTTTAACCTTTAAATCTGAGATTAATTTATTTTTTTGGGGGGGGGAGTAACTGGAGATTTTCAGGTGCATAATGTGAAGACATAATGTGAAAAGCCTTTGATTACCAGGCAGTGCTGATACACTTCACATCACAGTTTTTAAAAAAGTATTGTAAATTAAATCCTGGAGAGGTTCTGCCTATACCCAGGGCCAGCTCACCCAGGAGGCAAGGTGAGGCAACCAGCTTGGCAGCAGATTCCACAGGGGCATCAGATGCCAATGCAGATCTTATGCCTGATGCAGATCTTCACTCACTCCTTCTTCCCTGGTGGGGAGGGCGTGTGCCGTTTTTTGGTTCACCTCAAGTGCCACCATGTCTTGGGTTGGCCCTGCCTATATACCTTTTGAAATGCCAAGGTAGTCCAATTTAAACCTTTAACCGCTTCAGCCCTGAACAATTCAGTGAATCTGCTTGCATTTCCTACTTCTGAGCACCTGCTTGCATAGTTCTAGCTCCCACATGACGGCCACTAGTAAAATATCCAGCATTATCTTGCCAGTCCATTTGGAAGAATAGCTGTGGAATAAGACTGGCCGCCTAGGGGCCGGCTAAAGATGTTGCAACACCAGGATAGGTATGGTGGGGAGTTTTCTTCTACATATCACCAATGCAGAACGATGGGAACTAAACACAACATACTGTTAAAATAAGCACAAATACTGTTGCAGTTATTGGGGCAACCCACCCCTTCTAAGCAAGATTGTTAATAGCCCAGATTGGTATACATTTCATTAATGGGAGCTAATGGTTGGGAAATAGTTGGAGATGGTTTTGCAAAATGCAATAGTTCTTTTGGATTCTGGTTGCATTAATAACCCTAGTGGAGAGAAGTTCGGTACTTTTATACGTATCAGGCTTGAACGCAGAATGAAAAGCTGTCTTCAAGCAGAATAACAATAGCATAAAGAAGATAAAATACCCCTTCAGTTCTCAGGAGCTCCAGGGAATGAGAGCAGACTCTGGCTGCCCCGTACACAGCACCCTCCTGGTCTGGGTTGATGTTGAAGCTCAAAAGTCAGATCCATCAGAGAGATTTATGTACCTTAGACCCTTAGTCCTGACTGGCCTGGTATCCAAATGTCTCACACCTGTTCTAGAAGCAATTACTGAGGTAGTGTGAGGGATGGTACATCACCTGCCAGGTGACCTTAAGCTAACAGACGGAGCTAGTATAGTTAATTAATCTTGCTGTCCTACTGCTGACAAGCACTCAGCTTTCAGCCAGCCCAAAAGCAGATCCTCCCACAGCCTGCTAGCATTCATCCCTGAAGCACAAACAGCAAATCAAGACATGAAAGCAAACCAAAAGCCCTTGAGAATTCACTACCCTTGAGGATGTGCCAATAAGCAAGGAGGAAGCAGCCAATTGACCCACCTGCTCAACAGGCAACATTCTTTAGCAATAGGTTTCCCCTACAGAGATTATCTCATAGGTAGGCTGGAAGAACATTGATGGGTAACTTCTCCCATCCCAATCTAAGTGATGCAAGGTAGGTGAACAAATGCATGTGTGTTTTCGAAGCAGAGATTGTAGCTGAGTAATGGCTGAAAGTGCTTAGTGGGGTGGAAGGTCCCCTCTTTCTCTGGGAACCTGATGTGGGGTAGGGGATCTTTGCCCAGAGTGTTCCCCCTGCCCCCCTGCTGCTTGCCACCACAGGCACTACCATGAAACCCAACTGATTTCTCTATCGAAGGATATCAAACCCAGGGCCTCAGGGAAGTGAACAGCACCTAGCAGCAGCAAGCAAACTTAATACAGCCTAACTCTGATACCGACTTGGAAACTGTAAATCAGAAAGGCTAAAAAGAGTGCAAGAGCACCCAGGCTGGCTTGCCTGAAATTGTGGCCAACTGGTCTGCTTAATCTGACAGTGAAGTTCATGAGCCACCAAGCTCACGTTGCTGGCGGGTGGGGAAAGTTCAACCAGCACCGTGAAATGTTTAGCCTTCTCAGGCAGAAGCCATAAGAAGATTCTCATAATCTTCAGAAGAATACCGGAGATGATTGAGAAGAAAGCTGCAGAGATTACACATAATGTCCCACCAATTACTAATAATTAGCATTTATTATATACATGCAGAGAGAGGAGAGGAAGTAGAATTCTAGAAAGTGTAACCAAGGTACATGGGGAGCTGGAGAGCATGAAACCTCTGGGAAAGGGGGTGCTACGGAGAGCCTGTGTGGTGTAGTGGTTAGAGAGTTGGGCTAGGACCTGGGAGACCAGGGTTCAAATCCCCACTCAAATATAGATTAACAATTGCACTTTAAAGTAAAGATAATAAAAAAACAGAACTGAGATGGATGTATAAATACTTACAAAATATTTTATTTGGTTATAAAAATGCATTCAAATAACACTTGAGTTGCCAGAGGCAGCCCCTAAAGAAGTGGAAGGGATCAAATTTATTGTGTAGGACACAAAACATTTAAACAAGGCATACCTTGCTTAGATCAAGAGATGCATTGATGCCAGTATAAATCAGTTCGTTAATATTGCTCATGAAAGTCTGCTTCCCAGATCAATGATGCAACATAACCACTGGACTTTTCCATGAAGGCATGAAATCTTGCCCTTTTTGAGAAACAATTTTATGGCATTTTTCAAGCCTTTTAACCATGTAATAAGTGATTGCCAACGATGTGAATCTGATTCCTGGGAATCTGATTACTAGGAAAAGAATGACCATTTACAGCCTTCTGTGTTTTGAACATGGGTATATAATGGTGTTATGTGATCTGCTGAAATCATTTTGGGAGGGCCATGTAACAGAACAACATCAACTCAGTTGCCTAACATGGGCTAGTGTTAGCATGGCATTCTTGCATATATTATGGGGCTTCATAGACAAAGTCCCACCCCCTCACTAGCAGACTCTTTGTGCCCTGAGCAACCGCAACAGCCATGGGTTAAGTGTTCTGTTATGCCCCATTCTCAGAAAACTAAGTAAGCTATATGCCTCATTACACTACTATTCCAATCACCATAGCGACTCTGGCTCTTGAAGTTGATTGATGTTGTCTACTGTGGGAAAATTGCTCACATGCCAAGATCAAGGGCATACAACTGCATCTAGCCACCTAGAGCTGGGCCAAAGAAACCCAATGCCTGAAAACAAGGTTATGTTCAAAAGCAGCTCTGACAGTGCCAATTAAGTAGGAAGCCATGGGCTCCAGAATAGGGGCTGGTAGCAGCCAAAGGAATGCGCCCTTTGCCAGAGCAGCTGGAATCATGGAAGTTATACTGATGGGGCTGTTTGCATCCTTTTGTCCTACCCTAAGTTCATCTTGCTGCCCTTGAACAGAGTTAATTTGTGTGCAGATCATAAAATGCTAAATCTTACTCCCAAGCTCTCATTAAAGAAACACAGGCAGATGTAACCCAGAGCCTTCTGCCTTTGAAGGCAACAGGGTGCCACAGAAACTGTGTGCTGACATGGGCTAATCCAGCTCCAGGGAGGAACTGAGCTCCATGGATTACTTTGATCTTCCTAGCCTGGGGGAAAAATTGCCTTCATTCGGAATGTAAAGGGAATGTATCTGTTTTCTCTCCTGGCAATTGAATGGATATGGGAGAGCCGCATCCATCAATCTCACCCCTAAGCCGGGATTCTTCCATGCTGAACAGAATTCCTGGATGAACAGGCCCATGCGAAAGATTCACTATGTGAAGCTTCTAAATAAAAGTTTTTCTGCAGAAATGAGAGAAGACACCAACAGTGGAGCTCTTGAGGAATTGAGAGCATATTCAGGAACTGCATACAATTGCTAGGTGCTGAGAAAGGAGTAAGGTTTTCCTAAAGTATCATCATTATATAGAGCAATACTTTAGAATCAGTTAGCATTACCCTCTACATAGCTGTTATAACTTTAGAAAAATAATTTTGTGCCTGTGGAAACTGATGGTACCAAGTATGATTTGAAGTCGGAACTTCACTGCCGCAAATCTATGCTAGAAAATGCACTACTTGGAGCTACTTTTTGCCAGAATAAATTGAAATATTTGGTTAGGTTGTATCTAATGTTGTTCGTGCACAATGGAAGAGATTTCTACTCATACAGCAGGACTCCACCTTACTCTTCTCCCCCTGCAGTTCCCTACACCCTCAAATTTGGCTCTGGAAAGAGCAGATTTTGGGGGTTGCATGGCAGGAAGAAAAGCTGAAGTCCATCTACACCCGTGAAAGTCCACACAAGCAGTGCTGGATTCTGCCCTCAGTATTATCTTGAGAACAAACACTAACCCTGGAATTTTGGGTTCCCTCCAAACTGGTGCAGTTGTTTTGCAAGGACCCCTGGTTTGATGTATCAATTTGGGGGGCGCTTCCACAAACAGGGTTTGTGATGCAAAACGACTGCAAAACTTTGGCACCGGTTTGGAGGGGATCCCAAATTTTGGGGCTTTTCAAGATTAGAGTGCTTATACTTTAATAGTCATGCGGATGAGGGGGGTTGTTTGTTTAGGTACAGATTTTCAATTGTGCAACTTGTAAAAGGTATACTTGGAAGTCTAGGGCAGCGCTGCCTTGAGACCCACACAGACACCCATGACCCAATATGCAATTCTGATGACTTACAAAATACTATATATTGTCTTATTTCTGGTGCATTTAAGGTGGTTTGTTTACAATACAGATGGATTGCTGCACTCTAAGTGGACGCTGGGGGTGGGAGAGAATAAAGCTTAGAAAGCAACAGCACTGTAATTTGGTGGTACAGGCCCTGTTCAAATAGGTCAAATTATTTCTTGATAAATTTAGCTTTACATTTTTGAAGAAATGTTAATGATAATTTTAGAAGACACATTTTAATACAGGAGTATCCTGCACCTAAAAAACTAGCAAGTATCTTTCAGAACAAAACAATTATCATCTTAAGAGACCAAACACAATGGAATACCATTAGATTCAACACAAAATTCTCAAATCTCGTTTAGCCTGAAGGGAAAACCTTCAAGAGCTTGACATCATCTACTGGACGATCTTGTGCATTGGTTTCCACCATGCCCACTCTGTTGACTATGCCAATTCCTTGGCAAATACGTCCAAATATAGTGTGCTTCCCATCAAGCCATTGAGTTGGTGCTAACGTGATAAAGAATTGGCTTCCGTTGGTGTCAGGGCCTGCATTTGCCATAGCAAGAATTCCTGCACCTAGAGAAGAAAATCTTATGTTAAAATTGGCTCAGGAGTCTAAAGGTACCTAAATACAGACAAAGTAAAAGGGAAAACCTTGGTTTTTTTAAATGTTACGCCCATCCTTAGAAGTGATCAGGACTTTGTGACAGAGGTGCCTAACCTGCACATCTCCAGGCATTGCTGTACTGCAACTTCTAGCATGCCTGAGCACTGGCCATGCTGGCTAGGACTAATGGAAGATGATCCAACAACATCTGGAGTGCCATAGGTTAGCCACCTCTGCTCTATGAGATCAATGGAACTTCTCTATAGTGAATGAAAGACTGCTCATGCATCCCAGCTGGCTCAGATGGTTCCCATCTCCCCTGCCCAACATACACACCACTGTCCACCTATTCACTTTCCTTGGAAAATCCATTTGGATGAAGATTTCACTTCTAAATTAAGGCTGCTAGGAAATGTATGTGGTGTGTGTGTAAGGTGTATACACTTGAACACAGAAGCCCATTTCTTACAACAACAATATGGGAAAAGAATGTAAGCTATACTTTGTGATGAGGACAGTTTAATCTCCTTCCTGCTCCTGTACACAAACCAATAACTACCGGTAAATGATTTTTTTCCAAAAATGATTTTTCATATGCAAAGTGGAAACCTAATGATACATGATTATATAGCATAAGCAGTTAACAGATTTAGATGCCAAGTTTTACTGACTTAAGATTCAAGCCAGTCTTACAGGTCCTGAGGGTGATATCTAACACTGCAAGTAGATTTCTGCTTGCACAAGAGCACTCTCTGTTCCTCTCCTCCCCACTCGAGTCTCCTGCACTCCCCCAATCTTCTAGAGCAGATTATGGGAGTGTGGAAAGGGGGGGTAGAGAATAGGGGAATCCATTCTGCCAACCATCATGACCCTGAAGCTCTTGCACAGAAAGCAACTTTACATCTGTAAGCTTGGAAACTGCCATATGCAGGTGGTGACAGACTTGGCCTGAAGAACTCAAAGCACCTCTGAAAAGATTACCTACCTGTAAACTTTAGTTCTGGATGGAGTTCATCTTCAAATTGCTTGCCATAAATGGATGCGCCTCCTCTTCCTGTCATTAGAACAAGACTAGGTAAATCAATCTGCAAAGTCACAGATGGGACAGAGGTATACTGAAAGTTCCTTGTGAATGTGCAGTACCAGACCAGCAAGATTTATTTATGATCTCCTTTTATTTTACTGGTAAGAGAGGAAGTGCTGACTATTAATGGATATCACCATAATGCTCCTGAGTAAAGGGAGAGTAGCCATCTGTTAAGTCAAAAATCTTTATGTTATCTTACAGCAGGGGGTCATTTGGCCTCACCAAGTGTGATAAATGTGTTCTCCCATTCTTGCAGAACATAACATGAGAACTATGCAGGATTTGGGGGGATGATGATGATGGTGGTGATGATTGCAAGATCTACTATCCTAACATCACCTTTACTATTCACATTAGTTTGCATCAGCACTGATTAACACAGTATCTGAAGCAGGTACTTTGAATATATTCTTACCAGTTCCTGTTGGATCACCCCCTTGAATCATGAAGTCCTTGATTATCCGATGAAACTTTGTGCCATTGTAGTAACCTCGTCTGGCCAGTTCAGCAAAATTTTTACAAGTTTTTGGTGCATGTTTCCAGTATAGCTCCACAACAATGATGCCCATTCTGCAAAACACAGGCAGAGGAGGATTCCAAACACATATGGTACATCACATTGATTCAATGACATCGAGGTGAAAAACCACAAGAGTGTGTCTTCATATTACAATCTATCAATTTTATCAGGTTTGTTTTCTAATCAAGATGCAAAACATTAAGAATAGCAGCTTTAAAACCTGATGAAGATAAACAGCTTAGATTTTTTTAAAAAAACTGTGAAAGTGGGAGGTCTTTGCATAACACTGAAATGATATCAAGGAGGGCACTAAGATCACCCTATTTAGGGGGGGGGGGATATACAGATCAGTTGCCACTATTGGTATCCACCAGCCACACCCTAGATGACACAGGAACTCCACATTTGATAGGGTCAGTAGGGCCCTCTGGCAGAAACAGTCCATGTAGTCTTGTTCCTCCTCCTCTGTGTGAACTGACAATATATCCTTGGTCAGTGGACCAGGGTGCTGATGTAGCTGCACTGGCTGGTCAGAAACACAGAGACAGACAATCATTCAGGTACCAGGAAGGTGTTTAAAGTCAAAACCAGCATTTTAAACTGGGCCTATAAGGAGTCAGTGCAGTTGACAAAGCAGGGATGTAACATGATCACAAAGCCTGGTCTCAGTAGCAATCTTGTAGCTGTATTTTGAACTTTCACCAGTTTCTCAATCATCTTCAGTGGCAGCCCCAATTATAATACACTATGGTGATCTAATCTGATGGTTACCCAAGGGTGACTGAAGATTGCCCCTTGAGCTTTTCCCATCATAAATATACAAAAGGCAGAGAAGCATAAAAAGGAGGAATAGGGAACCTATAGGTCTCCAGGCACTGGATTCCAACTCCTATCGTCCCATGGCTGCCTGGCCAGTGATCAGAGATTATGCGATTTGTACATATGCGGGGAATAAGAAGCATAATATGTTTCTGTATCTCTCCAAGCACAAGAACTAGCTGTTCAACCAGCTTTGTCACCATCCCTTTTTAAATACATATTTGTAATTGATTGTCCCTTTGTTGAAACACTCATAGGTTTCTGGAGAGAGAGAGAAAGCAGAAATTAAGCAGAATTTGGTAGCTAGTATATAATTAGCCAATGTGGAAATCAGTTCTCAGTGGCGGGCCGGGGGAAAAAATCACCTGAAGGCAAATGAGCTTTTTGACAGCTGATGTAAACACCAGCCTTGCCTCGTGCCGGGTCAGACCATGGGTCCCTCCGACTCATGTGCGTCATCTGTGCTAACTGGCCTTCCGGGGTCCCAGACTCTTCCCCAGCCCTACCGGGCGACGTTACTTTACCACTGAGCCGGGGCCCTTCCCTCACTCACGTAGTCTCCAAAGAAACAGTGGGCGGCTGCCACGTATCGGGGGGCACCGCAGCCATGCTTCACGCACGCCGTACACACCTTCCCGCCGGGGGAACCAAGCTGGCAGAGCACACTTCCGGTGCAGCAGCGTATGCCGTCCCCTCGCTCTCGGGGAAACGAAGGCCGAGGCGCGGCGGACAAGTTCCCGCAAGCCTCGGGCCAATCAGCGCGCAGGAACGAAGCGGGTCTTTGTGACGTCGAGGCGGGAGGGGAAATTCGAATTTGTTTATGCTTCTCCTCTGAACGCTTACCAAAGCGCCGGAGCTTCGCGGTGAGAGCGAGCGGGAGGAAATGCCCGCGCCGGCGGGAAGGAGTTGCATGTCGCATGGCGGCTGGGCCCGCACGTGAATGGGTTCTGCGGCGCTGGATTTCTCTGGGGCCGGAGCGGGGGGGGGGGGCGGCTCGCAATTCGGAATTCTTGCCTGTAACCGCTTTCGGGCAAAACTAACACGTCCATCAGCAGCTGCGTCTTTTTTCTTTCCCCATTAACAGCCCAGTCCTAAAAGCATGTTTACTTTACTCAGGAGTTAGGGCTGCTATCCGGTGCACGTTTATCTGGGAACTGAAGTCCTCACTGAACGCAGAGGGGCTTATTTAGAGAGAACGTTCGACTCCTTTACTTAAAACGATAGGAATGCTGTGCACGACAGAATAAAGCAACCCAAATGTCATGTTAACATCCACGAAGCAGTAAAACCCGGTATTCAAATAGCAGAGGCTCCTAAATCCTCTGAGCAAAGAAGCACATCTTTAGTAATCGGCGCAATGCCAGCAACGCCTTGCACCTTTGCATGAAGCGTCCCTCGGAGAAAGCAAACTCCCGTCAGTGGTTTTGACTAAGCAGGAGAGAAGATCAGAGACATCGGTCCCGACACAGAAAGTATTTGCCAGCGTTTAAAAACATTATGGCATTGAGCGGGAGAAGCCCCAAACTTTTCTGGCTACCAATCTTAGGGCAGATAAGTGACGAATGCACTTCTGAAACAAGGCAGTGGGACAAGTAGGAATGTGGTGACTGAGATAAACTTTGCCTGGTGGCGGCGGATGCTGGTTAGTCTGGATGCTGGGCGTCTACCTTAAACTCACGGGCAATGGGGCTGCATTGCATAATTAATGGGGAAGGAAAAATGAGGCAGATATTGCTGATTGCCCCGTCCCACCTCATGTCAGCACTGCTATCTGCATTTATTCAGTTGTGGCGGGAAGGATCCAGGATACCTTTAATTACGACTACCTGCAAAGCCACCATACAGTGAGCATGCTTTGGAATTCATCTTTTTAAGACTTCTCACAAAAAAGCAAACCCGTGGGGAGAGAGGACCGGAAAAGGCTTTATTTGCAAAGGCAATGGGAGGTGCTTTTGCATACTTAATGTTGGAGTGAACGCCCGGTGATTGCTCTCCCTTTAAAACCAAGAAAAGCCACTGGTGATTCGAGACGGAGGAGAGAGGCGTATCGGAGGTACAGCTACCTTATATCCCATACAGGACTGTTATTGCTGCTAACCAGGCTATCCTTGCTACTAATTCAGAAAGCTGTTTCTAAGTAGGCTTACAAATGGAAATAGGATATGGAAGTAGGGGGAGTGGAGGGAGAGGAACAGCAGGTGAGAAAATGCAGAGAGAAATACAAATCTGCAGCTTCCTAAAAAAAATGTACAAATTAGGTTCTTAGTAATGAACTACAGAAAAAATGTTGTATTTGTCTTTCTTTCACTGTTTGTTTGTTAACACTTTTCTGGTAACCAATTCGCAGCATAAATTTCACAAACCAAATCAACCCAAACTTATCAAGCCAAACCCAAACTCGTGCTATTTTCATGTAGATGGTTCCTGAAAAACATGGAGTGGCAAACGAAGGTGGAGCACTAGAATAATCGGATGCACCTGTGACATGATTCATGATGTAACACTAAGGCAAACCAGTGACTTACTACAACAAGCAAATGTGTGGGTTCTGTAGCAAAGATCACAGCTGCTTCACCTCTTCCCTGGTCCTGCTTGCTGCCACCTAATTTAGGGCAAGCTCATGGTTTGGCTTAAACACTGAGGTCCTGAATCCAAGTCATAGTTTTGTATCAACTCCAGACAAAGCATGAAAGCTATAACTTTGTTCAAGGTTTAATGTAATGCCTAAGCAAAGTATGGTTTAGCCCAGAGCACAGAACTGCAAGGAACAGCTCAATGTTTGCTCATTCAGCAAGTCATGTTTGGCCTATTTTTGTGTGGTGTGGTGAAATTGCTAACCACAACTTTGCTAACTGGATCATTGATTTTGGTTTCTGACTAAGTTCAGCGGTATAAATACTTAGTCCAAAGCAACTGATTTCTGAATTTTATATCAACAATCTTTCTCCGTTTTTTTGATTTTTAATTTTTTTTAAAAACCCCCAAAAATATATATTACACGCAGGGCTACATGTAAACTGAAAATATTTTGAGGAAGTGGATTTATTATTTTTATGTCACATCTTGCTGCCAATTATTCTATAGAACTAGGTGCACCATCCAGTGATTTCAGTTAACTTGGGTGCACTAATTCGCACAGGACCAGGCTGTTTAGATGTACAAGTTCAGCTACCCTTAGCACGTATTCTGGCTTTCTACCATTCTCAGTACATATTAATGGAAGTGGATCGAGAATATACAGCGGTTTATTCCCGTCTGCAAAATATTCCCCACACAGTTTGTTGGGAACGGCATCTTAAATATCCCAAGCATTTAAACTGAGAAAACCTCAGTTCACTGCAACCAGGAATTACCTTTCATGGGAGGATTCCGGCTTGTATGGAGGTGGATAACTGTGGTGATTCATGCTTATAGTTGGTAATATGAGCAGGTAGGTAGTCAGAGGCTCTGTGAGTACTTGTAAATAAATTAATAATGATTTATTCTTTTTCTCCAGATATAAAATTTATTATTGAGAAGACTGGATTTTATCAGTCTTCTTCTTGATAAGAGACGGTTAAAGGGTTAACTGAACAAATCTAATGCTGGTGATATAAATTGGGGTATTGGCAGTACACAAGCTGCAGGACTTCTCCCTGTCCCACCCCCAAGATCTGTAAATAGCTACTGTACAGGCTTTCAATAAGCAGGGGGGGTCTGTCAGAATCTGTAGCAATGCTAGCAGTGCTTGCTTAAGTGTGTCTGTACTGCTAGTATGTATCAATGTCCAATCGCCTGTGTAGAAGCCCTGCCCATTCCATTTAGTAGGGAGATACACTGGAACAGAATGACGTGGCAACATACTGTAAGCAGGTTCTGATGACCAATTTCTGTAGTCCAAATGTAATGTGCATCTCAAAAAAAAAAAAAACAAAAAAAAAAAAAAAAAAAAAAAAAAAAAAAAAAAAAAAAAAAAAAAAAAAAAAAAAAAAAAAAAAAAAAAAAAAAACAAAAAAAACAAAAACGCATCCTTTTGCTGTGGCAGTGGTACCTTGGTCCCAAAACTCATCTGTTCTGAAGTCCGTTCGACTTCCAAACGTTTGCCTGATATGTTCTGAGACATTCCTAGGCCAAAAATGGAGAACCTGTGCCCCTGCAGATGTTTCTGGACTCCCACCAGCCCCAGCCAGCATGGGCAGTGGTCAGGGATGGGGGAGGGGGTAATAATCCAGTACCATCTGAGTCAGGAGGGTAGGCACAGATTTTCCAAACCTATCCTAGAAACAAGGGTGCATTAAGGGTGCCTCTAGAGGCTGTCATTGCAATTGTTGGGGCTGCCCAACAATGTGGGCAGTGTGGTGTATTGGTTAAGAATGGTAGACTTGTAATCTGGTGAAGCGGGGATCGATTCCCTGCTCCTCCACATGCAGCTGCTGGGTGACCTTGGGCCAGTCACACTTCTCTGAAGTCTCTCAGCCCCACTCACCTCACAGAGTGTTTGTTGTGGGGGAGGAAGGGAAAGGAGAATGTTAGCCGCTTTGAGACTCCTGAAGGGGAGTGATAAAGCGGGATATCAAATCCAAACTCCTCCTCCCCCTCCTCCTCCTCCTCCTCCTCTTCTTCTTCTTCTTCTTCTTTTTTTAAATAATTTTTATTAATTTTCCAAGCATATAATAACAACAAACAATCAAACAAAACAAACAAAACATACAAACATATAAACATGTATACTTTCGTAATCTTATCTTCCTACACCTTACTTCCCGGACTTCCCCATACCTCCCCTTTTCTGCATCCTTGTTTTTACCTTTCTTCAGCAACCCTCCAACTGATTAATTAATTCACTTTCTTCTTCTTCTTCTTCTTCTTCTTCTTCTTCTTCTTCTTCTTCTTCTTCTTCTTCTTCTGTTCTCAAATGGCTGCACTCTGGGGTAATGTATCAATCTGCAGTGAGCTTTTATTTTCAGAATGAAAACAGTTTCTCAAGAAACCCTTTTCAGGGGCAGAAAATATGCAATGAATCTTGATTTTGTGTGGATGACATAGACAAAGATATTAATTGTTAGTCTCCATTGATTCTACAATAAAATGTCATGTGTATGCAATCAATGACATCTTACTACACAACTCCACATTCTCTTCCCATATGTTGTTTGAAGAGATTATGCAAGTCAGGTGTATATAACAGATGCTTCAAATCAGCACTTGTGGTAAACAGCAAACACAGATGTGCCCTTACAATGTCCCTGTGCCTAAATCCTCATATACACATGCAATTATATAAATTTATAAGCCTGGTAATTTCAGGTCTGCTGTGCAGATTGGAGCTCTGGGGAACAGTTTTATAGAGCCACCTCTGCCCTGCGTCTCTTGGGATATCGAAGTAAAGCTTTGTCGCCTTTCAATATGCAAAAGTTACATCTTGGCTCCATCCAAGTCAGTGGCAAAGCTCTCATTAAGTGTGATGGAAGCAAGACTATTTTTGCAAAGATAGCAAAGAGCCATGATTTAAATTTTTTAGGGTTTTTTGCCACCTTAGAAAGCCAGAATTATTCCATTCTTGCTTTGCTATCTTGTGCTCACTGCCTGCTTTTGAACTGTTTGGGTTTGAAGAGACTGTCAGATTGTCACTTGGCTCACTGGCAACAGACCAAGGCTCAGCTCTGAATAATATATCGCCAGAACTATCAATGAGTGTGTGCATTTTGGCTCAGCTGTGATAAACCAATGACGATGAACAAAAGCGTGTTCCGTTGGAGTGGCTGTATGTCTGAGTGTGAACAGAAAAGGAACAGAACACACAATTTGCCTTGAAACATCATTTTCCATCAATGCCGCAACACTGGCCATCACGCAAAAGGCAGGGCAATAGCAGCACAGGGCTGACTCCTCTCCCTAACCCCAATTTAATCATCATTTTGCTGGCAGAATATGTCAGGCGCAATAGGCAGGCAGTGACAGGGAGTGATGCCCTGCATAGAAATGAATCAGGCCTTGCTTATTCAGCAGCGCTGGCTGGCTGGCTTGCTTGGGGGAGAGAGAGCGCGTCTACCTGTAAGGTAATTAGGACTGAGAGGGAAATTCAGAATTGGAAAGAGGCAAAAAAAGGACACCTTTGAAAGGGATGCAGCACAGGCCAATATTTCCTATCTAACTTGAGCAGCCGAAGAACCTGTCTTGACGTGAGTTATTTAGGGAGGCAGATGTGAGGTGTTGTTACTTTGAAAAATGGGGCATTTGTGGCCATTTGGAAGCCTTGAGACTGCCTAGGCTTAACATAAAGAAACAGTGCATTGCTAATGAAGAACAGTGCATTGGGGGTGTGGGCCCACAGTCTGGCTTTAACTCCTTTGTAATGAAGGGAGAGTGGGGAACCCCTTCTAAATAGCCACAGTTCTCATAGGTGTGCTCTTGGTTCTGAAGGCATGGTTCGTTGGAGCCAATGGAAGTGTCATTCTGGTGTCTTATAGTAGGGATGTGTGAGAGGTTTTCATCAGGACTGCAGATCCTCCAAGTTTTCCTATTTTCCAGGGAAATTCCTGGATTTACAGAAGTCTTCCTGTTTTCTGGTTTGATCCCAGAATACCCTGCTTTTCCTTAGGACATCCCTCTATTCACTGGAGAAATGTTGGAGAGTAAACAGTTATTCGATACCCAAACCATCTGATGGCAGCCCTGTATAGGGAAGTCTTTAAATGCTTAATGTTTTATTATTTTATATATATATGTTGGAAGCTTCCCAGAGTGGCTAGGGCAACCCAGTCAGATAGGCAGGGTATTCTTATTATTAATTATTATTATTATTGAATAGGCTGTCCCTATTTTCATCGGAGAAATGTTGGAGGGTATGGGATTGCAGTGAGGGGAAAGGGTTAACATCACCTCCCTGCACACCATGAGCTAGGTACTCAAAGGGGACCCCTGCAACTGCTATTTGAACTTTACAAAACAAAGTACAGTGGTACCTTGGGTTAAATACGCTTCAGGTTACATACGCTTCAGGTTACAGACTCCGCTAACCCAGAAATATTACCTTGGGTTAAGAACTTTGCTTCAGGATGAGAACAGAAATCGTGCGGCGGTGGCACGGCAGCAGCGGGAGGCCCCATTAGCTAAAGTGGTGCTTCAGGTTAAGAACAGTTTCAGGTTAAGAACGGACCTCCGGAACGAATTAAGTACATAACCAGAGGTACCACTGTACATTAAAGGCATTCACACCATTAACATAATGTGGGGCTTGAACCTTAGACTTGATGCTCCGAATGTAAAATGCTCTTAATGTAAAAGACCTCCCCTCCATCTTCTTCCCAGCAGCAAAAAATGCCCACATTGACACCTACTGATTTAGATAGCTGCTGATGCACCTGCTGCATGTCACTCAATCACATTCAGATTGTTTGATATTCAGTGCAGGTTTTTGGGAAAATAAAACATAATAACCATCATCTGTAATTGACCGTTGCTCTTGCAGGCTTTGCAAACACACTGAGTCCTCCGCACAGCTCTCTTTGGTATATAGCTCTTGTATTGTGCTCTGTCTTTGTGAATGTTGATAAGGCAGCATGTTAATTTCAAGCCCCTCTACAAACAGGGGATAGGGACACCGGCAGCCATCCGTATTTGCCCAGCTGAAAATGGCCAGGAATTTTAGGTGCTTGAAAGGCATGCCCCATACCTCCAATTAGTTAGATTTAGTATCTGGCACATGATGAGCTTCTTCGCGGCCAATGGCAATAATGATGATTTCAGATGCCTGCACAGGATAGAGAAAGTGGGCCAGGATTTTTGAAACAGCTGGATTGTTAAAGCAGAAATCATCTGTGTAAGCTAAATATAACAGCTAGTACCTCTTTGTAAATAATAAATTGAGCAGTCTCATCCACCTCTTTCTGCTCCACCACAGCAACCATGCTGGGAATCTCCACTCTGATCAAACGGTAAGTGCAAGCAGTGCTGAATTTCTAAAAAGGAGAAGAGAGGGAGCTGAAGACTCTATGCTGGGCCAGTCCTACCATTAGATAGGATAAGGCAGCCTGCTTCAGGTGGCAAATCTGGGATGGAGGAGACAACCCATTATTGAAGGCAGAATCCAGTGTTGTCTTCCATTCACGCAGAGGGACTTTACCCTCCTCTCCTCCCCTTATACCCCTTCACATGCCCCCCCCCGCTCTGGAACATATTTTTAAGGGCATATGGGAAGCTGGTGGAGAAGCAAAAAACCAGACTATTTGCAGTAAGGAAAGTGATGGGGAAAACACACTTCCTCACAAACAAATCAGAGTGAATGTTCATTAAATAGCCAGCATCATCTAATCTCCTCCCAAACAAAACAGGCTGAATTCTCAATAAACAGGTTATCTGGAAGTGCCTTGATTCTCAAGTTGCCCCGTCCTAACTGCAATTCACTTGAATGCTATCTATGTATATGATGAGAGCAACGTGGAGACTGCCTTCATGTTAAACATAATGGCATTTATCATTTGCTTTAGCTTCTTTCTGGTTTAAAATTAGCCTTTAGCATCTTTGATTCCAGGGATGCTTCTCTTCTGCTCTGCAATTCCACTCCAGGTCCTCCAAGGACATGTGCTTTTCTCTTGCTTTGCATTTTTATTGGATGCCATATATGACAAATGTAAATAATCAAGTATATAAAGAGAGAGAAGGGAGGCCTTTTCTATGGAACAGCCAGCTCTTTTTAAATTTTAATGCAGGCACAACCAAGAAGATAAGGAGGATTTCCAAAATCTGTATTGTGGCCAGCAGTCTCATCAATAGGCTATGCTCCTAGTGAGGAAATAAGTCCCATTGACTTCAAAATGAATTCCAAGCGCACACACACACTTAGGATCAGGCTGTAAAAAAATTTCAGCACTAATTTAAAATGCTAACTTTTCTTTTACACACACACACACACACACACACACACTAGTTTGTCTCTGCATTGCTGAGTGCTTTTTAGTTTTTAATGCATCCAGAGTCATGAAGATGAAATCACCCCAAACTTTCAATGCACGCCCATAAAGTGGGATTTCAAATCCATGTTAGTTTAGAGTGGTTGCAGTTATTCTGCATTGACTAAAACAGGGTGGTGACTGTATTTCAGGAACAGCAAGAATGTGGCGCCTTTCCCCTTATTACCAGAGTACTGGAGGGCTTGTGTATTGCTTGCTGGCGGCATAGGCGTAGCCAGGGTTTATGTTGGGAGGGGCAGAGCCTCAGTTACAACATAACCTGTTCCTACTGATTACAAAAAAAGATCAGTGGCCAAAGGTGCCACCAACCCCCACCCTTAGTGGCTGCACGAAAGAACTGACCCCTTCAGCAAGTCATGGCAAGGTTGAGAAGGTTCCAGCTTTTGGTTCCTTGTGAACTGTTTCTGGGGAGAAGGCATTTTCAGATAAACTAGCCTGGGTTTAAAACATGCTTCCTGCTCCTGAATAATTGACTGAAATAATCAAGACAAAAATATTCTGTTCCTAGTGAGCTTGACTTTCTGCAGCTCCACGCCAAATGCTCTTTACTTTGCTGGGAAGGTGCAGAGATGCTGCAGAATTAGATAACGTGCCCTACTTTTAACATCTTTGCCATGGAAGAGAATAATTGCCCTATTAATAAACACACTGTATGTATCATTAACAGTTCATTATTATGTAATATTTTATGTTTGTTTTAAGCCCCCATTGCTTTTTAAACTGTGAGGAGCTTTTAAGGGTAACTACTGTTTGGTGTTCTTCGCTGCAGATACTGACTATTAAGGCACTTGGAGAAAAGGAGAAAGAGACTAGCTGTGTATGTAACGTGGCGGCATGCTCCCCCTGCAGCATCCTGCTGTATTAAATTTACTGAAGCTACAACTTTCATTGAGGGGAAGGGGTGGTGGTACCACCTCTACCCCCTTTTAAATTAGGGACTAAGTGAGGTGAGACAGTTTCACAGGTGCTCTGGAGACCAGCAGACTCCTTTGTTTCCCTGAAACGTCATCCTTCCCTGTAAAAGAGATAAGCAAAGAGGGTTGTAAAATATGTTTACCAGATTTTGTCAATGAATCTGGGGACATTTTTTATTTTTGAAACTGAGTAGCAACAGTGAGCCAGTAGTGGGCATGGTGTGGCAAAAAACCCTAGGCCCAAGCAAAGATGCATATTGTATAAAGGTGCAAAGCCCTTCTTTCGCACCCTGTGAGCCTTCCCCAATCAGTCAAAACAAAGGGGGAAGGGGGCAGGAGATTGGGGAAGGCTCAGGAGCCAGGGGCGGGAGGCACGCCATTGCCCAGGAGGGGTGCAAGGTGTGCGGTTTCTCTGCTGGGCAAGGTGCAAAGCCCTTCTTTCACACCCTGTGAAACATAAATGTGCAGAGTTTTTTAAAAACGGCAATGGTGCGCTGCCTGTCCATGACTCCCAAGCCTCCCCTGATCTTCTTCCCCCTTCTCCCTTTGTTTTGACTGATCAGGGGAGGCTTGGGAGTTGCGGCCGGCCGGCCATTGTCCAGTTTTTCAAAAACTGTGCATTTGTTTCACAGGGTGCGAAAGAAGGGCTTTGCACCTTGCGTAGCAGAGAAACCATGCACCTTGCACCCTCCTGGGCAACAGCCGCCCGCCTGTAACTCCTGAGCCTCCCCTGATCTGTCAAAACAAAGGAGGCAGGAGATCTGTACCGCCGGACGTCCCCGGTTCCCCTTCGGCAGTGGCAGCGAGCAGCTCCTGAAGCCAGCCAGAGCCAACTGCGCTACCAGGCTGGCTCTGGGCTGCTGAAGCTGCCACTGCCACATTTCCCGGGGACAGACTTGCAAATCCAGGGACTGTCCCTGGGAACTGGGGACGTCTGGTAACCCTATTGTAGAAAGAATCAAATGTTGTCTGGATGCCAGTCCACCTGAGATGGACAACAGGTCTACCCACAGGGGGCGGGGGGAGAACAGTGGAGGGGTAGACCTGGCATACAAGTTTCTCAGGCCAGGTCTACCCAGGTCTTGCTATCATTCAGGAACCAGAATCTAGTAAAGGCATGTGCTTTGTTGAAATTTCAGCCTTCACAACATAGGAAAACGGCAAGTAAACAGCTATTTTCGTGGAGGAGGGTCAATATATTAACTGATATGCATGAAATTTCATATGTACAGTAGCTATATAATCCCTAGTGTAGTAAGATAAGACCTTTGGAGCAGGCATTTTCAAAAAAAAGTTTTTTATGAACCGCCCTAGTAGGGCAGTAATTGTTCCTTGATAATTTGTCCCCCCCCCCCATGATGGCACCTGGGACGGACCACCCCGTCCCCCCTTTCCTACGTCCCTGGACAGAGCAACGGGAGCTCACCCTGTTGTGTGGATTTGAACCGCCGACCTTCTGATCAGCAAGCCCAAAGAGGCTCAGTGGTTTAGACCACAGCGCCACCAGCCAATAAGATGTGTAATGACATCAGTCTGAGCATTAAAGTACTGGTGGACCTCCTACTTTGTTGTTTTAAACTGTCTCCAAGGAAATGATCCCAGGGCTTTGATGTCACTGAATAGGCAGTTGTGTATTATGACTGTATATGGAAAGAAAATTAGGAAGTTCATCTGAATGTGACTCAGTGGGCTATTTTTAGGAAGTAATATTAAAAGACATTATAATCCATACTTAAACAGAGAATTTTAATTAGTGTGCATTTGTTCATTTCTGGGGGTGGGGGAAAAGCACCTTAATGATAGTGAACATATTCATGTACATAATAAATGATAATGTAAAATGAAAAGACAGAGCATATTGTCATTATGCAGAAACATTGGTGGAGACTACAATGCAGCACTTCATTAAAAGAATCCTGTGCTATTTTCTAAACCCAGTAGCATAAAAAGTATTTTTAAAAAGAAAAGAAAAATGTCACAAGTTTCAAAATGTCTTTATATTATAAAAAATGAGGAAAGGTTAAAATGAAAGTTTACCCTCCTTGGCGTCCCACTCCCCCCCACCTCCACAACCCCGCGTTGCACAACTTTCTCTAAGCTTACAGGCAGCGCTGTTGGCTTCCTGGGTGCAAAACCAGGACCAAGCCCACAATGATCTATATCAGTGCCAGGTAATTGAAAAAAAAAAAGTATAGGTTGCTGGTTAAAAAATAGTTGCCAATTAGGAGCTGACTGTTTTAGTGACAGGAGACTGAGTGGAATTGAACTGACTGACTTGGTTTGGTTAGAGATTCTGGCTAGGACAGCCAGTCCACCCGAGAGCATTCTGATTCTCACACAACTATCTCAGAGTTTATACACACAGCGCTTCAGTGCATTTTCACCCCTGTTCTTTGAATCTGTGTACACATGGCATTGCACACAATTACCCACAATCCCCTGGTTTCTTCTGAAATATTCTCCATTTTGATGGGCTTTGCCCAAAGTCAGTTTCACTCTGACTTCACAATTGAGTGATGAATCCTAGGTGTATACCATGGAACTATGTCCTGGGAGTGATCCTACATGTCTGAAATCAGTGTTTTATGTTCATAAACGAAACAAACACATTTTTTTTTAAAAAAATGGGTTTGTTCTGGTCTATACAATGTTCATACATAATTTTGTTCATGCTCTTCAAAAATCAATCTCCACATCTTGCAATATGGCTTACCTACTACTGCCACTTTGATGGAAGCTTCATTTATAATCCTATTTATTAATTGCTTCCTATAAAATATCCTGACGTGATTTCGCAATAAAAAAACTGCAATAAAAACAATTCTGCAACTTCATCTATAAAAGCAATTATACATCTTTTTATTTTTATTTTAAACCAAACATTTTCTTATGGAAAAACAACTTCATAAGTTAAAAACAGTTTAAAATTCAAAAATTGACTGACCCATTTGCCCTAGCTTTTCTGGAATGGATGCTTTTGGGAAATTGCCCTTATGGAAAAAGTAGCCCAGCAATCTGGGCAGGCAGTAGGGGTCTAGGTGGACAACTAGC